ATCTAAAACTTCAAATTTATAGTCAAATGTGCTTTTAGTGCACTATCCTACAACCTGTTCCTGGGAGAAGAACCCTAAAGTTAGTAGAACATTCTCCTTGTTCCTGCTTTTCCATAGTAATAGAGGGAGATACACCAGTAGATGTCAAAACAATTAAAATGTAGGCTTCTATAGGCCTGTGGGTGAGATAGGGAACTGTGACCTACATAAACTGTGAACTCCCAGCAAAAGTAAAGAGAAAATATGGACATTCAAAATCAAAACTCCAGCACCCCAGGTGGGAATAGGGCTCAGGGGTAGACAGCTTGCCTAGCATGTGTGAGGCCCTGGGTTCCATTCACAGCAACACATACACACACACACACACACACACACACACACACACACACACTCTCCAGCATCCCTTCATTTTGTGACACTTGCTCACAATCATTGGTCACAAACCACCTGCTAAAATGAAGGTAGGTTTCTGTCTTCACTATGAGACAACATTCTGAAAGCCTTGGGCTTAGGTTTGCCTGCTCTCCCAGAATCCTCTCTTATATAAAAGGTTTTCTGTTGGGGTAGAGGAGACCTTGGGGTTAGATAAGAATAGCCCTTAATTCAAATAACTACATAAAGGATTTTGAGCCAAACAGAAATTTTGATGCAACTTTCCAGATGGAACAAAATTCCTTCCAACAGGAGACCATTCCTTCAGTCTTTGCATAAACAATTCTAATAACAAGCAAGGAGCTTATTCTCTCAAACAATAGCCTATTGCTTTTTTAGCAAATATGTAATCATTCAGGAATTTTATTCCAGGCCAGCATTAGAAAGTGCCATGAGTGAGTACATATGGCCAGAGAATTGTTCATTTTCTGGACCTTTATTCTGCTTAATCTTAGAAAGCCATATATAAACACATTTACCCAGCCTTTGAGCTCAGCTGCAACTAGCATTTCATACCCATGGAGAATACTCACCTCTGTGGCCCATGAGAAGAGGAACACATATGTATAGAATAGGCTTCCAGATATGACAATTGGAAAGAGATCCTACGTGTTGAGGTTGCTCTAGCCAGTATGCTTTTAACAAATATATTTTACCAACTAGTAGTGAAATGGAATAGTATCTTTATAAAATAATCTTTTGTGGAAAATTGAGTAAAAGCATTCCCAAATTCAGGATCTAACTTCCATCCCCTATTCTCAACCTCTTCTGTTATTGCCCTAAGTCAGGATTTCATTATATCTGATTAGACCACCAGCATGCTATTCTTGTCCCTAATTTTCTGCACTTACACTAAGATGTTCCCAGGAATAGATTTCAATTTATATATCCTATATATTTTGGGGGTTTTGAAATGTGTATTCAAAATTTCAGCCATCATCATCTGCAGTTTTTTTGCTCCACTCCCCGTGGAATGTCAATTAAATGTGTCTCTGTTATCCTCCCTTTTTAATTCTTGCATGCAATTTGTTTCTCCAGGCAGAACTCTGGATAATTTATTGTAATGCATCTTTTAATTCAATAATTTTCTTTTTAGTTGTGTTTAGCCTTCATTAAACCCAACCGTTAAATGTTCAAGTTCCTTTGTTAAAGTGTTTAGTTTTAGACCTTCTCATTTCTTTTTTAATTTTGCTACATAACTTTTTATTATTTTCTGTTCCATGCAAATATTTTCTAAGTTATGTTTTTATGTTTTGGAACATAGTAAATCATATTTTTGTAGTCTATGCCACACAATCATGACATCTGAAGTCATTGTGGGTTTGTTTTGTTGTCTTCTTTTCTTTTTTTATATTTTTTTTGTAGTCATGCACAATAACTTTATTTATTTATTTTTATTTGGTGCTAAGGATCGAACCCTGCACATGCGAGGCAAGCGTCCTACTGCTGAGCCACAGCCCCAGCCCCTGTTGTCTTCTTTTCTAATGGCTGTCATACAAAGTATTTTTTCTCTTATGTGTGGAATTATCTTTGCCCATATGCTGCCATATTATTGAAAAATCATTTTACAAATTATTCTAGGCTCAAGATGATATAGCCTTCCTACAGAGAATTTTTTCACTTGTTGGGATATTTTCCGATGTTTGAGAATACAGTTTGTCCAAGGACACTTTAATCCATGACCAGGACTTTGGGTTCCTCAGACTATACAACAAGGCCACACAAGAGCTTGTTGTATAGTCAAACAGGTAGTGGTTAGGACCCCAGCTGGAAATGGCAGGGAAACCTCAAGCCTTTAGTTTTGAGTTTTGTCCCAATTGCCTATGATTCCACAAAAAAAAAAAAAAAAAAAAAAAACCACAGCTAAATTTCACAACACTTTCTTCCAGATTCAATAAATGCCTCTGATTGTGACATTCCTTTGCACAAATCCTTTAAAATCTTGCTTCTAAAATAAAAGTCTTGCCTTGTTTTTTTCGTGAGATAAGTATTTATTGTATACTGAGTGTGTGGTGCTCTCCAGGCCACATACTGCCTAATCCCTCATGTCTTGCTTCTCTCACTTCTCTTACTGCCAAACTACAGCCAAACTAGAACCTTCACTGTTGTGTGACAGAGTTGGGTCTGAACACAGATGGACTAACTTCCAGGTCAGTGCTCTTTCCCTTACACCATGATCCCACATTCAATCCAGGTATTTATGGATAGTCTTGTAAATGAACTAGACAAAAGCTCAACATGTACAAATGATAGTAGCATTTTCATATTCTTGTTGCATTTGGGGCTATGTTTGTCTGGTGAATCAGAAATTTCAAGAAAGCATTACCTCGAGGGAGAGAGAAATGGGGGAGGGCCCTGTGGAATTTCAGTTTCATCATCATCAACAACTTTTTGGCAATCTTCATAGTCACGAGGGCACATAGGAACAAAACTTCGGGCTTCAAGCCTATTTTTCCCTAACAAATTAGGAACCAGCCAGACTAACTGCCTGCAGAATTGGTTTCTTAGTGCTGAGAACATCCCACATCCAAACAAATCTACTCCCACCTGCTGGTAGTTGCCTGAATTTCCAGTAGAAACCGACTTCATTGAAAACATGCTGTTGGGGAAGCAAGGTTCCAGAAACAATGTTTCTAGTTTGGGCCTTTGCCACTATGTGAATTTGGGCCAATCCCTTTTCTTTTTCTGGATATCAGTTTCCCCATATTACAATACAGGTGGTTGAACAAAGTGACCTGGTATGCCCCTACATTTTTTTAAAGCAAAGATTGTCTCTACAATGACATCTGGACGACCAGAGCCATGGGTAATGGGGGCAGGACTAATAGTAATAGGGGTGGGCTTGATTGATTTCCTCTTATATGCAATCATCAGTGACATATGGATACTGCCATCCTTTTTATTCTTCTGTGTCCATGCAGGGGGGAAAAAGGCATTTGATGAAATGGCAGGGGAAGAGGGACAACAGAAAGGAAGGTGTGAGAATGTTCTGCTCTTAAGAAGGGAGAGAACTATGAGACACTTTTCTAGGTTTCACTCTAAAAGGTTTTTTAGAGGGGAAAGTAAAGAGTTAAACCCTTGGTGAACCTCGAAAATGAGGCTTTGCTGGGCACAATTTCAACTCACGTCATGAAGACTGAGGAATAGTAGAAGGGAAGAACTGTTTCTGTGTAAATGTTCCTAGGTAACCAAGAATGAACTTGAAATCCATTTGATTGCAACCCTTCTCATTGGTGTGATGTGGGGGATGCAGTGCAGGTGGACATGACTGATCTCTGTGGATTACCTACCTGGCCTATGGGATCTTTTGAGTCTTCTTTTTGAACTTGTTTTGTCATGGACCCAAGATGGGAGGGACAGAGGGTATTGAGTAAAGGCATTCTGTATTCTCTGAGATCTTTCTGCTCCACAGGCAGTTTTTCAGGTGGTAGAAATAAGAATCCTCCAGTAAAAATGTCATGCTTTTCCATGTGACAGGGCAGAATGCAGGAAAGTGGGTGTGGTCTGGTCTCCATCCTAAACATTGATCTTGTGTCTTCTTTTCCCCTTCCTTGCATCCCCTGGTTATGGCAGACTCATGTCTCAGGGAGACCCCAGTTGGTGAACTCTTCCAGTTCCCTGAGAACCTAAACTTAACATAAGGAGCACTCTGGGAAATTTGAGTTCTCAAACAACCCCTGAGGTTCTGGGGCAAATTTCTATCCTGAAGAAGGAACATGCCTGCTATAACCAGAGTCCTGTCATAAGACCCCCCTTGCTGATCCGGTTCAATGCACCCAAAGGAGAGGCATCCAGGTTACTGGAGACTCATTGGTCCAGGAATAACCAGCAATCTGGAACCCTCCTTATCCCCAAAGATGTACAGATCTTTCACAATGCAGATACAGCCATGGCAGACAAATTGTGACTCTCCCTTCACCACAAAATACAAACTCTTGGGCACAAGACCTTCCCAGAGAAACATACGTTTTGCCCTTTGACGGACCAGATGCCCAGGCGTGGACCCAGGCCCATCACACCAGCAGCAGGCCCCTCCTCCTGATCCCCTAGCCGGGCCCCGCCCCTGTCTGTGTCTGGAGCTGGCCCGGGGACGACTGCAGAGGCCTGAAGGGGCGGGGGGCCTGGCCGCGCGCAGGCTGCGGGCGGAGGCAGGAGCGCGCGCCTTTTTGTGCGGCTCCTGGCACCTGCCTGATTGGCTCCGCCGGTGCTGCCGTCGAGTGGGCGGAGCTAGCCGCGCTGCGCTGGGTGCCCAGTTGCAGCCTGGAGCGGCCGCAGACGGAGCGCACCTCGCAGCGGTCAGGCGCTCCCTGGGAGCGCTGAGTCTGGGAGAGCTGCTAGGTGGCTGCTCCTCCTGGGCTCCGGGCTCCGGGCTCCGGGCTCCAGACCGACTCCCGTGCTCCCTGCTCGCTGGGCCCTAGAGCTCTCTCCTTAGAGAGGACTCTGCGGAGGATCTAGCGATCCCGCCCCGCTGCACCCCATACTGACCTGCTCCCCGCCCCAGGCCCATCCCTTTCTCCAGCTGTCCGCAGCAGTTTCCCCCACCCTCCGGTCCCCAGAGCGCTGCAGCCATGGGCATCCGAGGCATGCTGCGAGCCGCTGCGCTCCTGCTGCTCATCAGAACCTGGCTCGCAGAGAGCTATGACCCCAGTCCCACCCCAAAATTCCATTTCGAGTTCTCCTCCACCATGCCCGAAGTCGTCCTGGACCTCTTCAACTGGTGAGTGACGCCAGCCTGGGCACCGCGGGGACAGGAGAGGGCAGACAGCCTCGGCCTCGGGCCTCTTGGACGGAGCGGGCTACGGGGGTGGGACTCGGGACCGGTGCTGGCTGAGGCCTAGTATGCGCACCTTCCCTGCCCACCCCTGGTGGGAATGGGGTGGGGGTAGGGACAGCCAGTTGAGATGGAGCCCACCTGTTACCATGGAGCCTGACTGCGCCCGGGTGTGCCAAATGGCAGCCCGAGGCATGGGGTGGGGGGGTGGGGGGTGAGGGGCGTCCTCACCCCAGGGTCTTATGAACCATCCCCAAGGACTAAAGACCCAGGCAGCTTTATTCAGTCACGTTCTTTGGCACCTGTGGAATTAAGGGTGTATGAGGTTATGGGAAATTTACAAAACAGAGAGGAGAGACACCTGTTTGAGTCCAGCGACGAGCCGCGGGTGTGTGCGCGTGCATGTGTGTGTTGAGGGGTGAGGGGCTCTTTCCAATGCGGCAGATAAAAATTATTAATTCGCCCTCATCTAAGCCCAGACAGTGCCATTGATGAGTGTTTTGTAATGGTATAATCCTGTGGCCTATGAAAATATTTGAAGATTGAGGTTTTTCTGTGTGTTTGATTTGAAGTTTGTTTGGGTCTGTGGGTATCTGAAGAGATGTTAATCAGTCAGCCCTTACATGAAGATCACACAGAAATGTGCATTTATGGTGGACACAGATCCTGAGTGTTGGCACATGGAGAATGTGTGGTCAGAAACAGGCGGGAATGCATTGCTTTAATTTGAGAATAATTTATGTGTACATTTTGGAATGTTGCAAAATGGAATTTTGTACTCGAGGAAGATCAGGAATGATTTCTAAATGGAAAACCAGAAATGAACATATTTTCAGATGTCAGGGGTGGGGGTGTTCTGGGCAAGGTTCCAGCAGACAGCCCTGCAATGCCCTCAACTCAACATACCAGACTGCGCCAGTGAACACACATGCACACACACGCACACACACAGATTTGCAGGGGCAATGCGTCAAAGAGTCACAGTGATGCCCAAGGCCTGTTCTCATTCGCAAACCCTTTTGGGGACAAGAGCCCTGCTGAAGGTCTAGGTGAATGGGTGGGCATATCAGAGACTCTGCAAAACCAAGCGGGGTCCACTTACGTGTGCTCACCCAAAACACCTCCAAGCTGGAAGCACATGCTTAGTGAGAGATACCTATTTCCAGAATAGATATTTTCGAGGATGGTTCTGAACCTCAAGGATCTGAAATTGTTTGGTTCAATAAGGGTCATAAATCTCTGCTATATGAACAAGGTTCTCTGCCTGCATCTTATGTCATATGCCAAGTCTTAAAAACAGGTGTACAAAAACAAGGTTGACATAAACATGACCAAAATAATGTCCAGTATACATAGGAGAAACATGACTTTGAGCTAGAGAACACTGGCTGAGCTCGGTGGGCGGGGGGAGGGGGGGCTAAGAGTGGGAGATGATGTTTCCTGGGACAATCAGGTACCCCTGGAAGGAGGACCCCCACCAATCTGGAAAGCAGCATCCAGGCCAATCTCAAGGTGGGGATCCTTAGGGTGTTGAAGTAATGCAGTTTTCTGAGGGCCCCCACTTGCCCACTCTCTTCTGGCATCCCCTCCTCCCCCACACTCTAGTCTTGCCTAGTAACAGGGATCCAGTCCTCCGGCCCCACCCTCAAGATTAAAGCTGAAAAGGGGGAGGGGAAGGGGGAAAGAGGAGTCTGCGTCACTGCTGTGCTTCTGGCTGACTCACTGCAGGGAGGGAGGGGAGGGAGAGAGAGCATACACATATGACTGGACATGTCTGCGTATGTAGAAGAGCAGGGAAGGCCCTGGCAAGGCTACCACAAGTCAACCAGCATTTACTAATGACTTCTCTGTTTCAGCAAAAATTGTGCAAATGAAGCTATGGTTAATAAGATTTTGGACAGGGTGCTGTCGAATTATGATGTCCGATTGAGACCAAATTTTGGAGGTAAGCACTTCTAAACCCTAGAGGCTTTTGTGTTACATGGGATAGGACTGAGACATGGCCAGCCAGCCCCACCCTGTACACTGACCCCAATCTCTACACCTCTGCCCCCCAATCCCAGCTTCCTGAACCTGGAGACACCTGAAAGGGAGCACTCCCAGGCCCCCAACCCCAGGCCTTCTGCTCTTGTCCTGGAATTTATCCCCATCCCTGCCTTCATGTGCAGGCCTTCTGCCCTCTCCCTACCCCCTTACAATGGTGTGGCTAGAGGGAGACAACAGTTTTCTGCTTTATGGGGGGGGCGGGACTCATTCATCTATTTGAGCACATTCTTTGTACCCTGGCCATTCTATCCATTCTGCTAATACAAAGTTGGGCACATCATCTCTTTTCCCTCTAGTTTACCTAGCCCACCTAGGCCTGGGACAATTCCACCTGGGTCACTTTTCCCCAAGAAAGTTCCCACCAAGTTCCACTCACTTGATACACTGCACACAGTGTGATCTGTCTAAAAATCCATCCTGATCACTCAAGAACTTGTGATGGCTTTATCTAACTGACAAATAAAACCTAAACTCTTTAGCAAACTGTCAGATCTCCAGAGCAGAAGTATCATAATCTGGCCCAGGGGACACCCAGAAACCCTACACCAAAGAAAGACAAAAGAAAGAGCATATCAAATTGGGGTTATCAAATCGGGGCATATCAAATCAGAGTTAGTCACTTTCTAGTTCAAAGGAAATAGAGATAAAAAACAGAAAGAGTAAGCCAAAGAAAAAAGAAGAACAAAAAACACCCAACTTCCTGCAGTAAGATACCTACTCTAAAGGGTTAACACTGCTAATGGTCCACGTTTGTGCATATGAATGGAGGGTTTCTGAATACCACCCTTAAGGCTTTGCAGCTGGTGCTTCTCCTTTGTTCCTTCCCTAACTTGAGGGCAGAAGGCACTGACCAAGGGATCCTAGGTGAGTATGCCCAGCTGGGGTGGGGAGGGGAGAAGAGAAATCGCACTCTTTCATTAAAGTTATACACCCAGGATAGCAGCACCCCTCCTGTGTGGTCCCCTAGGAATCCAGGTGCCACAGCGTAACCAGCATCCCCATGTATGGCACTGGCCTTTGCATCAGTTGCACCAAGTGCTGGTGGGTGACCACGGAGTGGCTACTTCCCTTTTCTCCTTGCATCATTCTCGCATTTCTCAGCAAAAGCTAACCAACAGCCACTGGAGTCCACAGGCCAGGTTACCATCACTGCAGTCATCCAAGGCCAAGGGGAGGGAACAGGACCAGGAGTTGATCTCCGGGGATTGTCAGGCATGCTTGGTCCACTATATCTGAGGCCCCTTACCACCCTCTTTCAAAGAGAAGAATTACATTAAGCTTTGTGGGCATGCAGACCTGGAGTGTCTGATAAAAGATAGATCCTTGGCAAAACAGCAGATGATGGCAGGAGGGCAAGGATGACTGGGAACCTTCTAGCATTTACACAGAAGGGGGCCTACACAATCCAGGCCTGGTGGGGGTGGGGAAGTTGATGAGAAAGCTAGCTGGGCCAGGGCATTCAGGGTTTGGGGTCCCCCACTCCCAATTCAGCCTCCCACTAGACACAATCAAATTCCCCTCTATATCTGTGACAGTTTAATCTCCCTTCACATGTGCTCCTGCTTGGTCTCACACACATATTCTCTCTCTCTCTCTCTCTCTCTCTCTCTCTCTCTCTCTCTCTCACTCTCTCATAACACATGCTCACACACATGTGTGCACATGTGCTCACACAAGGGTCTCACCTAATTTTGGTCCAAGTCAAAAAGGGGCCTTTCTTTTGGGGAAGTAGTGAGAAGAGGAAGAAGAGGAAAATAAAGAGGGGGAGGACACTAACAGGGTTTAAGGTTGAGGTCATTACCCTAGAGATGGCATTGAGACTCCTTATTGGGATGTTTCTCATTCCTCCTTATTATCCTAGCACATAAGATGGCCCACTATGGATAAATCAGAAAAATGTCCCCTTCCTCTTGTTTGCATCCATGTACTACAGATCATGGTGTGGTGAAGGGAGTGTGAACTTGCCCCTTCAGCTGGAGCCTTTGAGCAGGTTTCTGCCCTAGCCCTTTAGGTCTGCAGCATTCTACCACAAGGGAAGGAATTGCCCGAGTCGTATGGAACTGTCTAGAGAAAATCTGACACTGGAGAATGGAGCCTGCCTAACACAGCTTCTGACCTCTGAAGGCACGCAGAGGGCCTGAAAGGCAGCAATCAATAACTGTGTTTCTAGAAACCCATGTCACTACACAGCACTTTCCTAGGGCTTGTTCACAATAGACCTGAATGCTGGAGTCTGGGCTGTGCCCTAACACAGAAGCCCATTTACTTCTCAGCTGCCATTCATACGCTTATTCCCAGTAGCACTTTGCTCTTTGAAGCATCAGGCTTGGAATAACACATTTCCCTCTTTGCAGCTCAGCTTCTGGGCAGTCAGCCTGCAGTGAAAGCAGCAGGCTAAATTGCAAGCATCATGCGTGTTTCCCTAGCAGCAGTGTGATGTCATACACAGAGAATAATGGCTTTGCTATAGGGCTGGTGTAGACAGCTTTGAGCCGATTAGGGTATAATAAAAATGTATCTGTCCACAGTGCCTGACAGTTTACTACATATTTTTATATCCATGATCATATTTGACTCCTTACAGTGGACTATGCTAACATCTAAACCTGAAAACAAACCAAGGAGGAAGACAAAAACTGATACTAATTCACAAAGTCTCACTTGCACATTAACACACACAGTAATCCATACACACACAGTAACATGAACAGTCATGAATTCACTCACACACATAGAAACACTCACAGAAGGAGGAGCATACACTCAATTATATCTTAACACACAAATATGCCCATGCATGCATACATACACACATGAAAATACATATTTATTCATATACAAACATGATCACACAAATTCACACACATGAATATGCACACTAATACATAGAAATGTGTTCATATGTACAATCAGACATAAACATGCCTGCATGCACAGACATATAAATTCAATCATACCCAGGCACAAACTAACACACGCACATGCTTACACATTCAAACATATGCATATTTACTCACACATATTAATGAAGAATAACACCTATACACATATACAGAATATTCAAAATTCAATGAAATGTGCAAATATACACATTTGCTAACTTACAAATATGCTCAATTGTAAGAATACACTTAAAAATTTACACACATGAACACAATCACAATTCACTCACAAGCACTCCCACATACCTAAACACACTAGCAAATCTATTCAAATGCATTAACATTCTCACACACAAACACTCCCACACACATAGACATGTTCACACACTCACAAATACACCCACATCCAGGACCATACTCAGATGTACTCACATGAACACACACACACACATACTTACATGCCCACATATACACATGCACATGCACAAATGGACATGCTGGCATGCATGTTAAGATAGTTACACACAGGCTCTTCCATTCACTCACATGAGCATGTTACCATATTCAGCCATTCACATGAACACATCATACAGCACACCAACAGGCTTACATGCATTCATATCAACACAATCAGTTCACACACATAAACATGTTCACGCATTCACTTACACACAGAGATTCTTAAAAAGCCACTAACAGATAAGTAGACTCATAGAGGCACTTAACCCTCTTCTCTACACCACACATATGCTCAGATACATGCACATGCTTACACATTCACTAGCCGACAAACACACTCACACCACCACACAAACACATACACACAGACATGCTCACTTATTCCCTTCCATAAAAATGCAAACATACACATGTCCACACACTCACTCACATACAAATATGCTCACAGTCCTATATTTCCTCCCACAAACCAACATGTTTATACACTTACATGTTGTATAAGTAAAACTCCTACACAATCCACTGAAGCACAGAAACATGCTCACACATTCACTCATGCAGACATGCTCACACACTGACACATACCTGCACACAAATATACTCACAAATTCAATTATACTCACACCTATCCAGGAATGCTGGCTCTTATTTTTGTGATTATTGATTTTCAATTTTTAATAGAAAATGAATATTTCATTTCTCTGACCGCTTCCTTCCAGATTATCATGGACCAGGCTTTGCTCTTAGTGCTTGACCTGCATTAACTATGAGATTATTGCTATCATTGCCCCTATTTTACCCTTGAGGAAACTAAGACTTAGAGAGGCTAAGTGACTTACTCAAGGGCACACAGCTAACAAGCATCAAAGTAGATTCAAACCTGGGTAGTCTGGCTCCTGAATCTATGGTCTTCACATTTATCCCAACCTTCATGTAATAGTGTCTTCATGTACTGTAGGTGCCCCTGTGCCTGTGAAAATATCTATCTATGTCTCCAGCATCGAACAGATCTCAGAAACAAATATGGTAAGTGTCAATTCCAGCCACTGCATTGGGGACAGGGACAAGGAGCAGGGACTTTTAAGCCAACTGTGGTTGTTCTGACCCGTGACAGAACTCAAGGTAGGTTTGGGAAACTGCAGCCCCTTGGAATAAAACATGAATCAATTGAACTCTTCTATCATATCATATTCAAAAATTCAGTTCCAAATGGATTATAGACACAAAAGAAAAGGCTTATGAAGCTTTTAAGAGATCATATAGGACACACTATCTTTGTGTCTTGGGATAAAGATTTATTTTAAAAGCACACATAGTAAGCATAAATAGCGGTCATTCAATTATTAGTAAAATTCTCTCTAGCCAAAACCCCTGGAACTTTGGTTTTGCAAAACAGAACAACTATAACAAGTGTCAAAGGGTAAGTCAGTATAGACTATATTTATAACACCAAGCACTGATATCCAAAATACACATAATTCCTGTGAATTAATAAGAACATTTTTAAACCAATATAACTGCCATGTGTATCTGAAAAGAATAAATTAAAAAATAAAAAAATTAAATGATTAGAAAGTGTGAGCAGGAATTTCACTTTTTTAAAGAAAACTAAATATCTAATAACCATGAAAAGACACTCAACAGTGTTAGTAAAGTGTACAATGAAACCACAGTGGTTTCTAATGCTGCTGACAGTGGCATTGTTGCTAATCTGGTGAGTACATCATTGGTGTGTTTGGTGCTTTTGCATAGTTATATGGTTGGTATATTCACATATGGGAATATTATTCAGGAGAGCAAGTGAGCAAATTATAATTACACACATCAACCTAAACAGATCTCACAAATGAAGTACTGAGGGAAATAAATAAATTACAAATAACACACAGCATGACTCTATTTGGGTAAAATACAAAAATTGGGTCCAGCTAAGCATTATGTTTTCTAGGAATACATATATAAACAATAAAATTCTAAGCCAAAGCAAGAAATTTTGCACAAAATCTAAATTAATGGTTACTCCTGGGGGCTGTGGAAAATGTTTTTCCTAAAGGGACACATTATAGCTTGAAAGTTATTGGTAATGTTCTGTTTTTTAAACTGGATTTTAATTCCAGAAGCTTTGTTTTATTATTCTTTTCTTAAATATGCATATGTTTTGTGTTCTCATCTATGTTCATCATGTTTCATACACTTGCATACACATGTGTGTGTGTGCACACAGAGCATAGAGAGCTGGGCAACCTTGTTCTCAACTGGGATGTACTTTTCTTTCCCCAGGACTACACAATCACAATGATTTTTCATCAGACCTGGAAGGATTCTCGCTTAGCATACTATGAGACCAACCTGAACTTGACTCTGGACTATCAGATGCATGAAAAGTTGTGGGTCCCTGACTGCTACTTTGTGAATAGCAAGGATGCTTTTGTGCATGATGTAACTGTGGAAAATCGTGTATTTCAGCTTCACCCTGATGGAACAGTGCAGTATGGCATCAGGTGAGTCCCCGCAGGGGCCTAGGGAAGTTGCAGCAGGCTCCCTTCTTCCTGATGTTTATCCCACAAATACATTCTAAAGGACACACACAGGAGCTCCTTGCTTTTCAAATCTGCCTGGCACTGCCTCTCCCCCACTTTCAAAGTTTCCTACAGAGAGCCTTGGCTGCCCTGTACACAAAATGGTAATTGCTTCAAGGATTGACAGCGACTAGACTGGATTAGCAGAGGGGAGGGGCAGGACAAGGGGTAGGATGGAGCCTCCCAGCTGAGGTAGTAGAGAGTTTCTGTCATTATCTTCTTTCCCACTGTCACTTCCCTGGCTCTTCCAAGGCCCCTGCTCAGATTCTTCTCATGGATGCACCACACAGCAACTGAAAACTCTTGCCCACTTTATTTATTATCAGCACTTCCTTGGCGGGGCCTCCACTGATCTTTTAGTCTCAACTATCCATTTTGTACCCCCTGGCATTTTGCTAGTTCCTAGTACCACATGGGTCCACACCTCTGGCATGTGCATGGGTGTGCATAGAAGAGGGCTTGGGTTGCTGCTCATATCCATAATGCACACTACATACCTGTCCTCCACAGCAGGTACACAGCCTTGGAAGCATCTATACAGCACACAGTTTTCTCGAAACAGCCTCACTGCTTCTTTAGCAAGCATACTTTCCTTTGTCTCAAGGGCCCTTCCCATTCTGGCATCCTACGATTTTCTGACATCTGTTCTTTGTTGCAGTGCTGCGGATCTCTCAGTCTTTGTCACACTCCAATTCATTCTCATTTTCTCTCTCTCTCTCTCTCTCTCTCTCTCTCTCTCTCTCTCTCTCTCTCTCTCTCTCCTACACATAGGTCAATCCTTGGGTAACTCCTGCAGTGTCCTCAGGAATGGTTGCTTGCTGGGGCTTGACTCACTTTTTCTTTCCTTCTTGTTTTCCTTGGCAGACTCACCACCACAGCAGCCTGTTCCCTGGATCTACACAAATACCCTCTAGACAAGCAGGCCTGCAAGCTGGAGGTGGAGAGCTGTATGTATTTCTCCTGGACACTTTTCTTCCCCCTGACCTGTGGTAGTCAGGAAACCACAGGCAGAATTGACAGTGAGAGGGATAACATGTATCCTTAACTCCCTCCTCCCCTTCTCTCTCCTAAATATGTAGATGATCAACAGATAAATGATGGAAGGAAGGAAAAAAGAAGGAAAGAGAAAAAGATACTAGTTAGATAATTGATACGTAGCTGTATATATATGGCATCTGGGAACAGGTGACCTTTAGAGTTTATTTAGTTCTATTGGGGAATTATGTTGAAGTCTGGGGGTACGAGCTCATACCATCTTTTTGCTATACTTTTCCTTCCTGGCAAAGAAACTCCAAAGTGAAAGTTCTTTTTCTAAGTGTTCAGACTTTTTCACCCATGCACAAACTGAGCAAACCATAAACAATCCCCCAAGATTGCAAATTTTACACACACTCTGGTTTTCACAGACTGCTCTGGCATGAAATCTGCCTGTGCGTATTTTCTGAGATTACGTTTCTCTCCGTTCCCCAGATGGCTACACGGTTGAAGATGTTGTCTTATCCTGGGAAGACAATGAGAATGCCATCCACATGACTGAGGAGCTGCATATCCCTCAGTTTTCTTTCTTGGGAAGGACGATTACTAGCAAGGAGGTGTACTTCTATACAGGTGGGTCTGCCCTTCCTTCTCTCTTTTTTGGGCCCTTCACACCCCTATAAAATCCTGGGGACTTCTGCCTTTGACACCTATGCTATATGTTGCCTCCTTTCTGTTTCCCTCATTGTTGACACATTCCAACCTGCCTTGATGAAGTCCCCATGGCTTACCTCTGCATATGAAAAGGATTTGTGCTCCCTTCAGGGCTGTTCAGCCTCCATGTTTGCAGCCTATCTCTTCCATTCCCAAACTTCAGCCAACATGGATCAAGGAAGTAAGGAAGAAAGGAGGGAGAGCAATTTCTATGTCACATGGGTCTGATTACCAGGGTGTCTCCTTCCAGGTTCCTACATGCGCCTGATCCTAAAGTTCCAGGTTCAGAGGGAATTCAGCACCTACCTTGTACAGGTTTATTGGCCCACTGTCCTCACCACCATCCTCTCTTGGATATCATTTTGGATGAACTATGATTCCTCTGCAGCCAGGGTGACAATTGGTAAGTCCTGTCTCCATCCCAAGGAGAAATTTGAGTCATCTTTCTCAGGAAAAAAAAAAAGGGTAAGGAAGGGAACCATGTGTATGCTGTGTAGAGAAGGAAACAGGAATTTTTCTAATATGTGTTATAGAGGTGCTCATCCAGTCCTCAATGGACAGACTGACATTGGAAACATGGATGAAAAAAACATCAGAGATTGTCTTGGCATGTTAGGCTCAAAGTACCAGGATTCATTATTTATTGAATATGTGGCTACATTTGTTAAATCAGGAAAAGGTAGACAAGTAATACATTTAGATAAGACATGTATAATAAACATTTGATTAAGCAATATATCAAAACATTCTACTCTGCAGCAGAGGGCTTCTAGAGGAATGCCCTTGACAAGTCTCTAGTGGAATGTGGAGATACAAGCTCTCAGAGTCCAGAAAAGGAAGTGACCCAGGTTTTGCTGGCTGAAATTAACTATACCACAAAAGAGTTTTTTGAAGTAGGTTTTAAGTCTATGGCCATACCACCCTGAACGCACCCAATCTCATCTGAAGTAGGCTTTAAGGCACAGATTTAAGATTTGACAGTCCCCAAAAAGTAAATGACTGGTTAAAGGCAGATGAACCTTAAAAGTAGATTAAACTGCAAGATGCCTGGGACAGAACCTGGAAAGATGAGGAAAGCAGGAGAGCCTGGAAATACTCGGGAAGATTTTGAGGTTCATGTTGCAGCATGGGGAGCCATGAAAACATTTTGAATAAGGAGATTAGCTCCCTGGTTTGTCTTCACCATCTTTTGGATAGCCTCTTTCTTTAGAAGCACATTCTGGGCTAAACCTTTATATGTGTATAATGTTTTAGGTTTCACAAAACTTCTCCAAATACTACAGGAAGTCCTGAGTACTGGAAGGCAAATAAGGCAAGGTGGAGGCAGAGTTATAAATCACAGTGAAGCATATGCTGAGTTTAAAAATGGGGGAGAAGAAACAAGCAGGGCACATGGGTAAAGACACTACCCCAAACATAGTGTTTGCTCCCATCCTATGGGATATAGGTGCAATAGCTTGCCAAGAACTTCAAAGGAGACTAAACCTGTGCTGTGTTGTTTATAGGCCTGACTTCAATCCTTGTCCTGACCACCATCGACTCACATATGCGGGATAGACTCCCCCACATTTCCTATATCAAGGCCATTGACATCTACATCCTTGTGTGCTTGTTCTTCGTGTTCCTGTCCTTGATGGAGTATGTCTACATCAACTACCTTTTCTTCAGCCAAGGACCTCGGCGCCACCGTAGGCGATACAGGAGACCCAGAAGAGTCCTTGCCCGCTACCACTACCAGGAAGTAGTGGTGGGAAATGTGCAGGTTTGACTTTTTGATTGACAATCAGCTTTCCCTGAGCACCTCTTGATCCCAGGCTTAGTACTTGACCATTCCTTGTTTCTTAGTTCTTTTTATCATTATGCACACAGGTACAATGCACATGTACAACACATATATACAGCACACAGCCACCACACAAAACAAAGTAGAACTAATTATCATCACTCCTTTTTTTTTTTTTAAAGAGAGAGTGAGAGGAGAGAGAGAGAGAGAATTTTTTTTAATATTTATTTTTCAGTTCTCGGCGGACACAACATCTTTGTTGGTATGTGGTGCTGAGGATCGAACCCAGGTCGCACGCATACCAGGCGAGCGCGCTACCGCTTGAGCCACATCCCCAGCCCCTTATCATCACTCCTTTATAGATGATCATTTTCCAACAGCACAAGGCAAGAAGTGGCAGAGCTAGATTTCTCCAGGTCTTTGGGCTAAATTTGGTCCACTTTGCGTGTTTCTGGGGCAGGTGATGAAGCCAGACGAAAGGTGAACACAGTCAGGCTGAAAGGAAGACAGACACCAGAAAGGCTGGCCTGCCTACCCCACCTTCCTTGACACTTCAGACTCCCAAGGCCATGCTGAGGCTTTTGCTTTGGGCTGTATATCAATGTCCATCAACTTCCCTCCTTCACAGGGGGGCCCAGTCCTGTCTGCTTGAGTGGCCACCATCCAGCACACAGCACTCCTGAGGGACTACCTGCCCCAGGGAGACAGCGGTTCAGTCACCACCATGACCTTCCCTTGCATGCTAACAACCTCTTGGTCCTGTTCCTCAGCCCCTTGAGCTCCAGAGACCCCAAGAGGAGATGGCTCTATCCACAGTAACATTACAAGTGCTGATGAGGAAAGCCCCTTCCCTTTTCCCTCCCCTAGTACATATCCACCTAGGTGACATGAGTGACATGAAACTGATGAGCCTATCCATTATCTCCTCAAAGGATGGCCTGATTAACGTGGAAGATGGATTCGGCTCTCTTCCCACCAGCCCAGCACAGGCCCCCCTGGCGAGCCCAGAAAGCCTCGGCTCTTTGGCATCCACCTCAGAGCGGGCCCAGCTGGCCATCCCGGAAAGCCTCAGTCCACTGTCTTCCCTCTCAGGCCAAGCCCAGTTGGCCACTGGAGAAAGCCTGAGTGATCTCCCCTCCACCTCCCAGCAGGCTCTTCATGGCTATGGTGTCCACTTTAATGGCTTCCACAGTGATGACACTATTACTCCTACTGAAATCCGTAACCGTGCTGAGGCCCTTGACCATGCTAAGTCCTATGACGATGAAGACTCCGAAGATGACCTGAGTTTGGATGAGAACCATGGCCATGGCCGCAGCAGGAAACGCATGATGTACCGTGGCCAGAGCTGTGTGCTAGAAGGAGGCTGGGACCTTGATGAGATCCAGAGCTTCCATGATGACATCAATGTCGAGAGCCGAAGCCTTGACCTGGAAGACCAACGCAGGAGTGATACTCACAGTATCTGGAGCCTTGATGATGAGGAGCTCATGGCCGGTGACCAAGAGAATGATAGTAGCTCAGAGTCTGAGGATAGTTGCCCACCAAGCCCTGGGTGCTCTTTCAATGAAGGGTTCTCTTTCTACGTCTTTAGCCCTAGCCGTGTCCCCAAGATTGACAAGTGGTCCCGATTCCTCTTCCCTCTTTCCTTTGGCCTGTTCAACGTAGTTTACTGGCTGTACCATATCTACTAGTTTCCAGGGCCCCAAGCAGCAGAGCCACTATGCTGTGCTCCCTTCACAGTTTTGTTTTGATTTTGTTTTTCCCTTTTTCCTTTATTCATTTGATTTGGTGGTTATTCTGCAGTCTAATCAGTTGAAAACTTCTCTTTATCATTGTGAGGTGGCAAGTAGATGGAAAGAACCCATTCTGGCGAGAAGGAAAGGAGGAGGAGTTGGAAAAGAAAGGAAGGATCTGAGTGCTACCCACAAACATTTCTGATGGCTTTTCTGTCCCCATTAGGTGTTGATTTTTCTTTTTCATTTCCTTTTTTCTTCTTTGTTTTTCCTCCTGGGGGTCATGGACCTTGCTCACCCTCTGCTTAGGACTTTGGGAGAAAGTGAAGCTGAGTTGGGCCGAGGTGTGCAGGGGAAGAGCTAGCCACAGCTTGAAACTGCAGGCAACTGGCTGTAAGAAAGTTGGGGAGGATTTGGAAGTGCCTTTTGCCCATGATTCAATTGATGTTGTGGCACAGGGTTGGGAAGAAAATGAAGAGGTATAAAGGGGTATGGTGGGGGTAAGTGAGGAGCTGGCAGGGGGTCATGTCAGGTTGGAGAATGCCCAGGTTAAGCCGGCCCCTTTGGAGGGATTAGAACTTCCTTTGCCTATATTTCTACTTCAGAATGCTTGACAATGGGAACTTGATAACTTCTTTCTATCAATCACTGAGTTGGACACTAGTTGGACACTAGTCACTGGGCCATTGCTTGGTGAATAAGCACTGGACTGGAAAGTTCTGACTGGCTATTTCACCTCTGATCTCGAGTAGCAGATGAACAACTATTGTGAATCTCTATACTAATCCTTTCTATTTGTTTAGTGCATGGTAAGTGTCAACAAGCTCACTGACCCTTCACGCTGTTGGACCCTCACAGGAGCCCTGTGAGCAAGACAAAGTCAAGCACCTTGTCCCCGGTGTTCCAAGAAAAACGTGGAGCTTATGTGCCATGCTTGAGGACACTAGCTCTTCAACTTTACGCTACTCTGAACTGAAGAGTACCTTTTCTTTCCCTCCCCCTTGCTAAAGGGGGTCCTCCAGCAGAGTCTGCTTATCTATCAGACTGCCAACCACGTTCTACAGTACTGAAGCACCTCAGCAGGAAGAGGCTACTGACAGCCAATAAGAGAGAACCCAGCAGATGGAGAGTGTGGGCCTTCCCACCTAGCCTGTGTGTGAACTTGCCAAGCAGCACCACCTTGATGAAGGACATGAGAGAGTGAGCTTTGCCAAGCACTCAATCCCTGTCCCCTCTTGCTCTCTAGGCAGCCTCTCCTGCAGCCCCTTACCCCTCCACCCACCCACCCCCTTTTAACTGCTTCTGTGTAGGCATTTCTTTGTGTGTGACTGCTTACTTATGTTTATTTGATTTGAATGGGCAGGAAAGAATGTATGCTTGAAAGGGTATGCATTTCTTGTTAGTGGCTTTTCTAGAACCACCAGAACTCCCATGGCCTGTTCCCACATTGGATGAGCTGGTTAACTGTTTCTTTCTAATCCCCCTGTTCCAGAGAGCAGGTTCTCCTGGTTCCCATCCATTCCTTACTCCTCTTTCCCTGCATCTGTGCTGTGTTCTGGATTGAAGGCCCAGGGGAAGCACATGTAGTCCTAAGAAGTGGTAATATAGTGCCTTGAGGTAGGTAGTGCTCAATTTGTGGGATAAGCTGAGTGCTGAGCATTTTGCTTGGTGCTAGAAGGGCATGGTTTAGAGAAAAGAAAGTAGTCACAGGATATCTAAGAATGCCTATTTTTGAACATCCCACACAGAGAGATCCAGATTGAAGGGAGAGCGGTGACCTCACATGGTTATTGGAACACTAGCTTCCTGGAGCCTAAACATTGGTTGCTTGACTTGGATTCAGTGTCCTGGAGGGGATTCGAACCCTGTGGAGGGGAAGCAGTTCATTGAGGTAAAGTCATAAAGGGAAGTCAGAACAGTGGGAAAAAATAAGACACAGCAATGCATAGGAAGACTTCACAGCACAGAGGAAGGACAAAGAGGCCAGTTGTAAATACCCACATACTAGATATATTAGACCTTAAAGAGAATATCTTGCCCTAGTGTGCTGCAATGAGAGCAGTTGAACTCTCCTGCTCCTCATACTCCGTGAGGTTAAATGTCAAGGTGAGGTGGAGATTTGGCAATGACACAGTTTCAGGAACTTGAACTTTCAGAGATTGCCATGGTTTTGATCCTTCTAATTGCCAGCAAAATTATCCTGCAAATTGCCAGATCTCCCCTTGACATGTTCTGTGTGTGGTCTGTGGTCAGCGTCCTTATTGAGCCCCATCCTCACCCACCCCCACCCCCTTCCCTGATGTGTAGGCACACCCCTCCAGTTGGCTGCCAATGTCCCCTCCCAAACCTCTCCCTATACCAAGTAGCTCTAGAATTGCACTTCATTTGGCTGCATGCTTCCAGAGTTCAGCTAATCAAAGAGCCCTTGGTAGTTTGGAGCTTGGGCAGAGGGAAGGGTCTTGCTGAGTCTGAGATGGAGCAACCCCACTTTTTCCTCCGCTCACCTTTCCTTTTTTTCCCTCTCCTTGACTTTCCCCATAGAATCCCTCCCTCAGGAAGGACGCCCCTGTCTGTTTTTCCAAATTGTTTTGTCGTGGGGATCTCTGACATGTTTCCTACCAAGTTTTTGCCCATCCCATCTGCCATTGTGGGGTGCCTTTGCAGAGGTAACAGACAATCTCTTGGGTCTTAGTGGAGCTTGTCCAATGTATTCTTCTAATTCTTGTCATCTGGTTAATAGCAAGGCTGCAAAATCTTTGCATATTCAGAGCTGAATTTTGCTGAGACTATGCTCATTCCTAATGAGGTTTGCTCAGTCTGTATATACAACAGCTAACCCTTTGAGCTATTAACTACTGAATGCATCCACTAAGTTCTCCCCTGCATGATACCCTGCTGTGGTGATGTGCAGTAACTTCGTATCTACTCAAAGCCCAGCATCAAAGGAAATTGTGACTTGTCCTACTGAAAGTACAGTGTGTGTTTGTTGTATAATGTCCTGTGATCAATATGAAATCTATATTATCAGTGTTGGGTTTTCAGGGGGGAGGGAAGGGTGTTAAAGTATTTTCCTGAATACTTAATTAAATTAAGAAATACTCCCAAATGGTCAGGGTCACCTCTATGGACTCCATTTGTTTGAGACTTTGCACCCACCATTTCGCCAGGCTGCATCCCCAGGGTCAGTTGTCATCAGCAAGGCTTAAGGTGCCAGAATTTAATGCAACCAGCTCTCCTGTCTGACACCAGGCAGTCAGGGGATTCTGCTGAAGGCAGCCAAGTCAGTGACATGCTGGAAGTATGAACTACAGTAAAATTGTACATACCAGGTCTTCAGACAGTAAAAACCAACAAAAGAAGAGCAAGACTATGACCAAGGTGTCCTGGATTACCTGACCCACAAAAGGGCACAGAGCAGCAGAGCCTCTTGAGATGACTGGGAGCTTTCTTTGTCCTAATTAAATGTACATTTTCCCATGACCTTGACCAGTCCTGACTTTAAGAAAGTAAAACACAGAGAAGCATAAAATTATACTTGTGAAAAATATAATGGAAAAAATTTGTAAATAGCAAATAAAGAAAAATAAAGGTCTACAAAAGCAAATATCCTGATGGGCCATTGTGTTTTCTCTCTGTTTGGATTGGGAGGGAATGCCCAAGATGTCTCTCTGGGTCTGAAAGCCTCTGGCTTTCATGGTTCACCATGGCCTTCCTACAGCTCTGCATATGCACCACCTCATAACCTAGGACATTTGAAGCCAAGATTTTCAAGTGCAGGAGAGTCAGCAACATTACAGTTGATTTAACTGACACCTTGGCACAAAGCCCTTTTTTATTTTTTATAACTGTAGATGGACACTGTGCCTTTATTTGTCTAGTTTTTTATGTGGTGCTGAGGATCGAACCCAGTGCCTCATACATGCTAGGTGAGCACTGTACCCCTGAGCTACAACCCCAGCCCACATAGCCCTTAACCATTTAAAACAAAAAAAAATTAAGCCAGCAGGCCATCATGGTGCCAAAAGGGCCATTCTTGTTCAATTTAGTGGGGAGAGAGAAACAGGAAAAGTAGTCTTTATAAAGAACAAAACTGTTTCTTAAAATATTTTTTGCCAATGTGGTTGTGCAGAGTAGAGAAGAGAAAGCCCTATGTGGGTGGGAAGAGGGCATGCTGAGGTCTAACATGGTTTCCAGGTCACATTAAAACATTCTACTGATAGTGCCAAGGGTACTCGTCATGGACCACGTTCTTCAGTGACTCTTCAAGGACCTTTTGAGGAAACCCTTATATTTGCAACAGGGACCTTAACCCACTGATCTTTTCTGTGGTTCTATGGTGGCCAAAGCAGGCCTGTAGGGCTGTGCATACTTAACCCGAACAGACTGCTCTTTTGGTCTGCCCACAGCTTCAAGGTGGAACCTACAGGATAAAAGAGTTTCTTGGGTAGATCTTCTCTGGGCTTCTAACTTTCAGCAGCCCTTGGCAACATGCCTTGTACTCCTGTCCTCCTGACTCTCCTTCATGCGATCCAGGCTCCCAACTCTCCGTGTTCACTAATGCTCAACCCAAGGCCTTATTACCTGTAAAGAACCCTGTTGATACACGTTGTTACTGGCAGCCTTTGCTGGTGAGCTTTTGTGATGCAGTCAGCTCTGCATGATCTTCCCACACATTCCACTGTGACTGTCTGAGATGCCTGGCAGCCTTTTTGCTGAAAAAAAGCTTCCATGCCATAGAGGTCACAGATATCCAGGGAAGGAGGAGATGTACATAGCGGGGACTCAGCTTATGATGAGCTGCCACATACTGTTCTGCTGGCAAAGCTCTTTCCAAAAGGCCAGCTTCTGAAGGCGGCCCAGTACCTCAGATAGAGCTCATAGCCCTTGAGTGAGCCTGATGCCATCAGCTTCACTACTCTCAGTATGAAGGAGCCCTTACCACAACTTCCCAGGCTTTC